TAGCATGCTCTGGTTTCTCTGTGATTGGAAATGTCGACTGGCTTCCTCTCTTGGTCCCTTTGGCGGGGCTCCCTTCTGTGTTCCCTGTCAGGGAGGCCGAGGTTGAAGTGGGAAGGCCTGGAGTGGTTTGAGCAAAGAATCTAAATATAAGTCTCCTTATATAGTTGAAGAAGAGATTGGCTTCTTATTCACAGTTCTTTATGGAATCAGAGCAACCTGTACAGGTAGTTTTTTTATTACTATTTAATTTTTGGCTGCGCTTGGTCTTTGTTGGGGCACACAGGCTCTTTGTGGCTGCACAGTGACTTCTCTTGTTGCAGAGTACAGGCTCTAAGGCGTGTGGGTAGTTGTGGTACATGGGCTTAGTTGCTCCACGGCATGTGGGATCCTAGTTTCTGCACCAGGGATCGAACCCATGTCCCCTGCAATGACATGCTGATCCTTAGCCACTGGACCACCAGGGAAGGCCCATGCAGTTAAGTCTTAAACTAAAGAATTTCATGGCCTTTTGAAGAATTAGTGCTTCTGTTTCTGTTATTATTTGCTTGTTTTTTCCCTACCTCCAAGGACATATTTTAGGCATTTATAATGCCTGTTTTAGTTGAAATCTAATGTTTCACTGAAGAACTATGGACAGAGGTTTGTGACATTGTCCAGGAGGCAGTGGTAAGACCATCCCCAAGAAAAAGAAATGCAAAAAGTCAAAGTGATTGTCTGAGGAGGCCTTACAAATAGCTGGAAAAAGAAGAGAAGCTAAAGGCAAAGGGGCAAAGGAAAGATATATCCATCTGAATGCAGAGTTCCAAAGAATAGCAAGGAGAGACAAGAAAGCCTTCTTCAGTGATCAATGCAAAGAAATAGAGGAAAACAATAGAATGGGAAAGACTAGAGATCTCTTCAAGAAAATCAGAGATACCAAGGGAATAGTTCATGCAAAGATGGGCACAATAAAGGACAGAAATGGTATGGACCTAACAGAAGCAGAAGATATTAAGAAAAGGTGGCAAGAATACACAGAGAACTATACAAAAAAAATCTTCATAACCCAGACAACCATGATGATCTGATCACTCACTTAGAGCCAGACATCCTGGAATGCAAAGTCAGGTGGGCCTTAGGAAGCATCACTAGGAACAAAGCTAGTGGAGGTGATGGGATTCCAGTTGAGCTATTTCAGGTCTTAAAAGATGATGCTGTGAAAGTGCTGCAGTCAATATGCCAGCAAATTTGGAAAATTCAGCAGTGGCCACAGGACTGGAAAAGGTCTGTTTTCATTCCAATCCCAAAGAAAGGCAATGCCAAAGAATGCTCAGACTACCACACAATTGCACTCATCTCACAGGTTAGCAAAGTAATGCTCAAAATTCTCCCAAGTGAGGCTTCAAGAGTATGTAAACCGGGAACTTCCAGATATTCAAGCTGGATTTAGAAAAGGCAGAGGAACCAGAGATCAAATTGCCAACATCTGTTGGATCATAGAAAAAGCAAGAGAGTTCCAGAAAAACATCTACTTTTGCTTTATTAACTATGCCAAAGCCTTTGACTGTGTGGATAACAACAAACTGTGGATAATTCTTCAAGAGATGGGAATACCACCAGACTATCTTACCTGCCTCCTGAGAAATCTGTGTGCAGGTCAAGAAGCAACAGTTAGAATCGAACATGGAACAATGGACTGGTTCCACATTGGGAAAGGAGTACATCAAGGTTGTATATTATCGCCCTGCTTATTTAACGTATATGCAGAGTTCAGTTCAGTCTCTCAGTCGTGTCTCTTTGCGACCCCATGAACTGCAGCACGCCAGGCCTCCCTGTCCATCACCAACTCCCGGAGTTCACCCAAACTCATGCCATTGAGTTGGTGATGGTATCCAACCACCTCATCCTCTGTCTTCACCCTCTCCTCCTGCCCTCTATCTTTCCCAGCATCAGGGTCTTTTCAAATAAGTCAGCTCTTCACATCAGGTGGCCAAAGTATTGGAGTTTCAGCTTCAACATCAGTCCTTCCAGTGAACACCCAGGACTGATTTCCTTTAGGATGGACTGGTTGGATCTCCTTGTTCTCCAAGGGACTCTCAAGAGTCTTCTCCAATACCACAGTTCAAAAGCATCAATTCTTTGGCGCTCAGCTTTCTTTGTAGTCCAACTGTCACATCCATACATGACTACAGGAAAAATGCAGAGTACATCATGTGAAATGCTGGGCTGGATGACGCACAAGCTGGAATCAAGATTGCTGGGAGAGATACCAGTAAGCTCAGATGTGCAGAACAGAAAGCAAAGAACTTAACCTCTTAATGAAAGAGGAGAATGACAAAGTTGGCTTAAAACTCAGCTTCAACAAACAAAGATCAGGGCATCTGGTCCCATCACTTCCTGGCAAATAGATGGGGAAACAGTGGAAACAGTGACAGACTTTATTTTCTTGGGCTCCAAAATCACTGCAGATGGTGACTGCAGCCTTGAAATTAAAAGACACTTGCTTCTTGGAAGAAAAGCTATTGATAGCTTATGGTGAATGGTGTCAGATTCTTGATCTCCAAAGAAGATATAGTTGCAGGACCAGGCTTGATCACTCAAGCGTTTTTGTGTAGCAGAGTTTTATTAAAGTACGAAAAAGGGCAGAGAAGCCTTCTGGCAGAGACCTCAGAAGGGGACGGAGAGTGCCCCCCTTGCTAGTCTTAGCAAGGGAATTATATACTGTTTTAATTAGTTATTACAATAAGTCAAAAGAATGTCTCAAGGTTGTAAAGATCTTACTAGACCCACAATTTTCGTGTTAAGATAACAGGATTAGCCAGAAGGTTTTCAGGAAGGAGAAGCTGCCCTCAAGCAGGACACATTGTTACTGTATAATCCTTAGTAGAGTTTAAACTGAGTTGTTTGTTGTGTAATCATCAGTTCGAGGCTTAAAGTAAAAAGTTTTTCTTCTTAGTTTTATGTGACTAAGACTAAGAAATGTAGAGGGGGAAAAAAACATTTGTCCTTTCCTCTTTGTTGAGAATTCCAGACCCCTGTCTCCACTTTGGGACCACCAGACCCTTTTTTACTCCTTGGGGATCCTGGACTTCTTATCAACCTGCCTAGGAATTAACTCTGTCACTGTGACCAACCTAGACAGCATATTCAAAAGCAGAGACATTACTTTGCCAGCAAAGGTCTGTCTAGTCAAGGCTATGGTTTTTCCAGTGGTCATGTATGAATGTGAGAGTTGGACTATAAAGAAAGCTGAGTACCGAAGAATTGATGCTTTTGAACCATGATGTTGGAGGAGACTCTTGAGAGTCCCTTGGACTGCAAGGAGATCCAACCAGTCCATCGTAAAGGAGATCAGTCCTGGGTGTTCACTGGAAGGACTGATGCTGAAGCAGAAACTCCAGTACTTTGGCCATGCAAAGAACTGACTCATTAGAAAAGACCCTGATGCTGGGAAAGATGGAGGACAGGAGGAGAAGGGGACGACAGGATGAGATGGTTGGATGGCATCACTGACTCAATAGACATGGCTTTGAGCAAGCTCTGGGTGTTGGTGATGGACAGGGAGGCCTGGTGTGCTGCAGTCCATGGGGTCGCAGAGTCAAGAGTCAGACACGGCTGAGTGACCTGACTGAGTGACTGAGTAACTGAACTGAATGTTTCACCTAAATGTTTCTACTCAGTATTGTCTGCAACATTTTGTTGCAAAGTTAAAATTTGTAACTTTAATATTTTCATTTCTCTTAATGGCTCCATTCACTTTGCTTAGAGAAAATTTTCTTCCACTTTCAAATAAAGTGGATCTTTTTCTGTGCCTGTCTTTAACTTAAAAAGTGCTGCAGCTGACCTGACAGCACTTTGATTGGTGTCTGACTCTCCTTTTGTGCAGTGGTCATTTCCCATTGGTGTTACTGCTGTGGGATTTTTTTGATTGTTTGGGTACTGGTGTTTTCTTCTGTTTTTCAAGCTTTTGAATTGACATGTGGTGAAAGAACTAATAGTTCTTGGTTGGCAGATAGTTAAGAAATTGAACCATTTGCTGTCTTCTGGGCTTATGGCATAAAATTGTACAAAACAGCTTAATTTTTGAATTGGAGCTTACTGATGCTGATTTGCTTTGTCCTGGTTTGGGGGAGGCATGATAATTTTTTAAAAAATTATTTTATACTACAGAAATTAGTAATGTATGAGTAGTATTGCTTTGTAGATTTCTTCTGTTTGTACATCTTAAAGTGTCTCTCTGCTCTCATTCTCAGTGAGATGATTTTATATGTGCAGTGGGCTCTTTACAAACAGTTCCTGAGGGGGCTGTGTGAAGCCTCCATGAAGACCTGCTGTTACAGGAAGCTTAGGAAAACACTGCTGTTCAGTGCCCTGTTGTTCGTAAGGCATCGTACGGAGACAGAAAGTGGGATTATTTGAACTCTTGCAGTTGTAAATTTGAAATGAAACTGTTGACTCTAGAGTGGGCATTAGGGCAGGTTTAATCTTTGATTGGAAGGTAAAACTTTAAGTTGCTTATTTATAATAACAGATTTTAATATCCTTGGATTAAAAGATGTAGTCTTATAATTTTATAATTAGAAGGGACCTTAGATGTGCTGTCATGACATGTGTAGTACTTACGTTTTACTTATGAAAAGTTAGAACCTCGAAAATATGAGCAAAGTGAAAGTGGTCCAGATCAAAGGTGAAGTAGGTATCCATTAACCTGGGCTGATGAATAAGTCAACTGTTTTGCTGCTGTTGGTTTTCTCAGTACTAACACAACTGGCCTGTGGTTTTAATTGTTGAATTCCTTTATTTTTTTTATTCAGTGCTATCCCTATATCTTCTTACATTTGACTCTTCGTTAATGACACACATGGGATCTTAAGTAAATTGTTTAGAATTGCAACTTGGTAGTTTGGAAAACAGTGAATGTAAAGTCGGTATTTGATTTTTTCAGTGTCTAAAGTGTCTAACATATTTATCCTTCTCTTTTAGGAAATTGAAAATGGCCCTTCAGCAATGCTAGGTCTATAATGGGAAGTGTCACAGTTCGATATTTCTGTTATGGATGCCTTTTTACATCTGCAGCCTGGACGCTTTTGCTTTTTATTTATTTCAACTTCAGTGAAGTGACTCAGCCACTTAAGAATGTGCCCATCAAGGGGTCTGGGCCCCACGGACCATTCCCCAAAAAATTTTATCCCCGTTTCACTAGAGGCCCAAGTCAAGTATTAGAATCACAATTCAAAGCAAACAAAATTGATGATGTGATAGATAATCACGTTGAAGATCCAAAAAGAGGCAGTGTGAAATTCTCTTCTGAATTGGGTAAGTGTACCTGATTTTTGCTAGCAATGTGTCAAAGTATTTCGTCGTTGGAAGTTCAAATATTCTTTAAATCATGTATTGTTCAGAGGACTAGACATGTGACTTTCTTCTGTACTGATACATTTTGTTCTTGAACTAGCTGGGGTCCTGTGATTTTTGCAGACAAAGTAGGGTGTTATATTCTATTTTGTTCAGTTCTGACTTCAGTATTTTATGAAGACTTTGGAGAAACTATCAGGTCCAGAATTGGGGAGGGGGGGTGGCGGGAGGGGAGAGGGCAGAAAGGAAGAAAAATTAAGTGGTTGGAAAGAAAATGGAAGATTTTATGTGGGAAGATTTTAATTGCTAGCATTATTTAATAAGGGAAAGCAGTGGTTGAAAAGTGACTATTTTAACATATTTTGAAAGGCAGAGTTAATTAAGACAGGACATAAACCATTGGGTTTAGAAATAAATTGAGACTACTTATATCTAAAAAGATTTCTACTTACAAGAATTATTAAGGTGATGGAATATATTTATTAAATATAGGAGTTTTTTTTATTCTTCAAAAATTATATTCTGTTCAGTTTGGAAGCAAGACTGAATACTGCAGTTATAGAGTCCTGGTTTCAGCAAATTTTATTTTAAGGGTTATATGAGCCATTTTGGTTGTCTTTAAAACTTAAGAACTTTGATCTTCATTGAAGAATCAAATAATAAGTAATTTAAGAGTAAAAGCATATAGTGAGAGATTCTGAGAGATTGCAAGATCCACAGAATATAAAGGAAATGTAAAAACAGATTTCATAGTTTCAATGAATAAAGTCAGTTTCTAGAATTTAATCATTTCCTAATACAGGAGGTCAGAAGTATTGAGAATTATATGAGGGAAAAGGAAGCTTTTACTTTAGTTTTCGTTAAATATACCTTCTATTCATTTTCAAAGAACCATTGGGACCTTTTTAAAAGCATTAATGGAAATTCTTCTAAATTTTTGTTTATAGTAATTTTTATAAAATTTTTATAAAGTTGTAACATTGGGTTTGCCATTTTTAATGGACTTTGCCTTTGAATGAAGTAGTGGGAGAATTGTAGATATTTGAAGTGACAAACTCAAATTACCCATCTGAAACACTAAATTCTTTATAAAAGATCCTAAAGATCACCAAAAAATCATAGCTAATAAATGAATTCAGCAAAGTCACAGGGTACAAGATACACACACAAAAACCAGTTGTATTTCTGGACATTAGTGATGAACAGTTCAAAAGTAAAATTAAGAGAACAATCCCATTTACAGTGGAATCAGAAAGAATAAAGTACTTAAGAATAAATCTAGGCAAGGAGGTATAAGACTACATAAGTTGTGCTACAACTGAAAGAAATAAAAATGGACCTAAACAAACAGAAAGATGTCCTAGGTTCATGGATAGAATGCTTAATGCTGTTAAAATGTCAGTACCTCCCAGAGCAACTGACATTGAATGTAAACCTTATCAAAATCCCAATGGCCTTTGTTGAAAAGATGGAAAAGCTGAGGCTGAAGTTGATAAGGAATTGCAGGGTGCTCTGAAGTCTTGAAAAAGAATAAAGTTGGAGAATACACACTTCTCTATTTCAGAACTTCCTGACGGTGTGATACTGGCATAAGGACAGGTACGTAGATCGGAGGATAGACTGAGAATCCACAAATATACCCTTCAGTGTCTGTGGTCAGGTAGCATCTATGGTAATGTCTAAGAACAAGTAACATGTGTGGTCAGTTGGTTTTCAGAAAGGGGTGCTAAGAGCACTTAATGTGGAAGGATGGTCTTTTCAGCAAATGGTACTGGGCCAATTAGATACCCCCATGCAAAGGAATGAAGTTGAACCCTTACCTCATATTGTATTAAACTAACTCAGAATGGATCAAAGCCCATAAAACCCTTAGAAGAAATCTTCGGAATAAATCAAATAATAAATTGGGAAAACACTGCATTCTGTATTTCATCCCCTCACACCTGTGTATCTATAAAACAAATCAGCATTCTTAAAAACAAAAGTCTACTCAACTTTAATTTTTTTCTGTTATTATTTGCCCATGCCAAAAAAAAAAAAAAAGTGGCAGTGAAAGTGCTCAGTCCTAACCCCTGGACCACCAGGGAACTGTCTTACTTGACTTTTAAAATCCGATGTTTTCCTGAGTATCTGGCCATGAAATCTTTTTTTTCTTTTTAACCTCTACTGACGTCCAGTGGAATTAATTTTCCATGGCTCGACTTCAGGAAATGCTATTACAGGGGAGTCATTTTGTGAGGAGAGAGGCTAAATGTTTGATGTGGGAAAGAGAAAGCAAAAGGAAGCTTACTGTTCCAGGTAAAGGGGAGATTTCTGATAGTGTGAGAGCAAAGGTGTTAAATTATGGTGATTTTGATCAGCTCTGTGGTGGACTTTCTTGACTGTGAAGTTGATTAAAGTCTGGAACTGGAGACTTTTTACAGAAAGGTTTATCAGTGGTCTAATTTTCTAGGGGAGGAGTCCATATAAAAACTTGGGGTAAAAAATTTTTCTAGAAAACAGAACCAAAAAAACCCCTTGCCCAATTAATTGGGGCCTCTTGAGATCCATATGGGGTTCTGTAATCTGTTGTCTTTATGGTATAAATCATCGTTAAGTCTCTTTTTTTCTTGGTCATAGGTAAGTTTTTTTTTTCTTGAAAATATTCTTAAATTATGGCTAATGAGCCATAATTTAGGGTTAAGGTATACTTGCTTTTTGAGCTAAACCGAGGAAAATTTGACTTAAACCTCGATTTAGTTTTTTTGAAAATGGAGACAAACTAGGTTTGAGAAACATGGCTATTACCTATTTATAAGAAGTTAAACCCAAGAGTTTCTTTAAATTTTGGTATTCACTTTTTCTGGCTGCACTGTTGCTTTGCTTGGGCTTTCTCCAGTTGTGGCGAGCAGGGGCTGCTCTTGGTTGTGCTTCGTGGGCGTCTGACTGTGATGGCTTCTCTCGTTGCGGAGCATAGACCCTGGGCACCCGGGCTTCAGTACTTGCAGCACGCGTGCTCAGGAGTTGGGGCTCGCGAGCTCTAGACTGCACACTCAGTGCTTTGATGCAGAGGCTTAGTTGCTCCGTGGCATCTGGGATCTTCCGGGACCAGGGGTTGGACCCGTGTTGCCTGCATTGGCAGGCAGATTCTTATCCACCGCACCACCAGGGAAGTCCTGAAGATTTTCTTAAGATCATAACAGGAATTGTAGCATTCTTTTCCAGATTTAATGCACTGACCTGACTTCATTCTTTTGCAGGTATGATTTTTAATGAACGTGATCAGGAGTTGAGAGACTTGGGGTATCAGAAACATGCCTTCAATATGCTTATTAGTAACCGCTTGGGCTACCACAGAGATGTGCCAGATACGAGGAATGCAGCGTACGTTCCTTCCTAGTTTCTGCTCGCATTTTAATACCAGTGCTTTCAGTGCTGGTATACTCAGTCATGGGGGTGGTGTTCATAATCTGCAGTTAGGCTGCACTATCGGTATCATTCGGGATACTAGAAAATTTAAGACAGATTTATTTCCACTCTTATTATGCTTGAAGCCACATGGTCTGAGATTGTATTGACAGAGTTCTAGAACTTGCTGTGTTTCTTTTGAAATTTAAAATCATGGGATAAAGGAGGGAGGTACCAATTGCATATAATTAAGTAACCTTCTGAGCATATGTTTATTTTAAATGTTTGTTTATTGGATTCATAACAAAAAGAAATTCACATCAGTGAAGAATTCCACTCGTGATCTCACTTTCCTGTTTTCATTCTTTTTGTCTTTTCAAAGGCTTTTCTTTCATATGTCAATCAATCATTCACTCTACAGATCTGTTTCAGCACCTTCTGTTTGCTGGACACTCTGTTAGGCCCTGGAAATAAAATAAGACATAGCCCCTCGGTTCACAGGGCTTAGTATCCATCAGGGGAGGTTGACAAGGAAGTGAGTAATTACAGTAGCACAGAAGGAAGGCTGTGATAGGAACGGGTGAGGTGGGGCCCCCACACCAGAGTGACCAGGGAAGGCGTCAGAGAGCGGGAGGACCGAGCAGCGCCATGCCGCACGGTAGTCCCCGGTGTGGGAGCAGATTGAGGCAGGAGATGTCCTGTTTGTCACGGGATTGAGACAGTTCTGATTGCCTGTAGTGAAAGAATGGCAAGAGGCTGAAAGTAGGCAGGGCCCAGACATCGTAAGGCATTGTATGCCATGCAGAAAAACATGGAATTCCAGATTTTATTTTTTGAGTCAGTGGTGTTTTTTTTTTTTTTTAATTGTGGACACTTAAAGCCCCCTAACCTTCTTTAAATCAAAGAGTTGCTTACATGGAAGCTCATCCATTATCCTGATGTATGTCATAGTTTACTCAAATCTTTTTATATGATTGAGCAAAAATTAAAATTTTCAAATACAGATATTCATATTTCCTTTTGAAACTTCATTGAGAAGAAACTGAATATCAGCTGTCGAGTGCTGCATTAAAAACTTGCAGTGATTTCAGTAAAAATACATTTTTGTGTAACCTCTACCAAAGAAGAAAAAATTCAAGTTTTAAAAACTTGAAGTGACTTAAAAATAAGCAGAGTAGCAGAAAATGGAGGGAGAAATTATTAACAATTATAAAACTCTTGAATAAGAAACCACATTGTTTCCTTAACCGCTTTAAAAAAAAATTGTTAATGATGTAAAGAAGAGGTTCAGCAAGGGAGCAGTTAATGTTTAGTGAATAATAACCTGACACATTTGGGCCTTTTGAAATGTCAGAATTTTCTGATACTTATCTTACAGATGTAAAGACAAGTCTTACCCGGCGGATCTGCCCGTTGCTAGTGTTGTTATTTGTTTCTACAATGAAGCTTTGTCTGCCTTGCTGCGCACGGTGCACAGTGTCCTGGACCGCACGCCCGCCCGGCTTCTTCATGAAGTCATCCTCGTGGACGACGACAGTGACTTCGGTGAGGAGGGCTGCAACTGGCAGTGTGGGGTCTCTGCTTTGGCTCGCTACAGTGGTGACCACTGGCCGTGCCCTCCCTGAAAGACAGGAGGGCCCTCATGAATGCAGTTGTAACAGAGCCACAGTACATACCTGACTCTAGGGTAATTTCAAAGAAACTGCATTAACTGTGTAATCTGTTTTCAAACTATACTGTCCAAATTAGGCTCTTGAAATTTTTCCCTTGGCTTCCCTTTTTAAAAAATATTTTTATTTTGAAATAATCATAGATTGGCAGTGAGTTACAAAGAGGTCCTGTGTACTCCTTCACCCAGTTTCCTCCATTGGTTACATTCTATATCCAATAATAACACAGTATTGAAAGCCAGGGGGCTTCCATGGTGGCTCAGAGGTTAAAGCGTCTGCCTGCAATGTGGGAGACCTGGGTTCAGTCCCTGGGTTGGGAAGATCCCTTGGAGGAGGAAATAGCAACCCACTCCAGTATTCTTGCCTGGAGAATCCCATGGACGGAGGAGCCTGGTGGGCTACAGTCCACGGGGTCACAAAGAGTCGGACACGACTGAGCGACTTTACTCACTCACTCACTCATTGAAAACCAGAATTTAACATTGATACCATGCGTGTGTACAGTTATTTGCCGTTTTATCCTGTGAGTATATTTCTGTAACCACCATTGTAATCAGGGTACAGACAGGACTACTCCATCACCCCAAAGATCTCCTACCTGCTACCGCTCTGTATTCACACACACCTTTCTCCCCACACATCCTCAATTCCTGGCAACCCTCATCTCTGTGATTTTGTTTCCATCTTTGTGGTACTGTCATGGGGCTGTTATATAAATGGAATCACGCAGTATGTGACCTTTTAGGATTAGCTTTAACTTGATGTGATGCTTTGGCTTAGGTTTGTCTTGTCAGTCTTTTACATCAGCTGCCTCCAGAGAAAGTGGATGGCATTGTGATGGCTCTTAGATGGTCTCTGAATGCTGGTATTTTATCTTTTAGTCCATACTTCTTACCTTTCTTTAATTCAGCATAGACTCTTTCTAAGAGTGATTTTGTGTGTACAGAGCAGGATAGAGGGCAGTCCTCAACCTTGTGAGAGAGATGGTATTCCCATTTTACAGGGGAGGAAATAGTAATTTTCTCAGGCTGTTACCTGGTAGAGTTGAAATTAGATCCAGTCTCCTGCCAGTGCAGGAGAGTCAGGTTCTGTCCCTAGGTCAGGAAGGTCCTCTGGAAAAGGGAATGGCAACCCACTTCAGTATCCTTGCCTGGAAAGTCCCACAGACAGAGGAGCCTGGTAAGCTACAGTCTATGGAATTGCAAAAGAACTGAACACGACTGAGTGACTAAACCACCACCATTCAAGCTTTCTGCTCTTTTCACTAACAGTAAGCCCCAGAGATACACTGATAAGTTATATGCCAGTTATATGTCTTTTCACAGCTTGAGAGTCTTTATTAAGCATTCCTTATGTATTAATAACAGAACTGGTATGCCAGGATACTTATGTATACAAAATGAGGAAATGTACTTTGAGACCAACAAGAGCAAAATTCTCAAACCTTGGTAAACATTGAAACCTCATAGGAGAAACAGGGAAAAATTAATTTTAAAAATAAGTGATTAAAAAAAACCCTAAGAATTTGAGTCTGGACCAAGTAGAAGATTGGCTAAGTAATATAATTCTAGAATTTATTGGTGTTGAATTTATTTTTTTAAGTTAGCCTGTGATTTGCTTTTCATTCTGTGGGTATTTTTTTCTAAAAGAGAAAATTCATGATCAGTTACAGTGGTTTATATGCTAACTATGGAAAGAATTACTTATTAGATCTTGTATGATCTCTCCACTTATGAAATTTAAAGGTAAATGAGCTAGAATTTATAAAAAATAGTGCCCATGGAAGATGCTAAATTATAAATTAGTATAAGAATATATTTACTGCTGCTATTATATAATTCTTGGTAGGGCAAACAAGTTATTTCTCAACTATTCTGAAATGGAGTAAGACTTAAATTACTTTGAAAAAAGGCATTTACATATCAGTTTCTTCTTTAAGTCTGATTTGTATGTAGTCAGCTGAACATTCATACACTCAAAATACTCATTTCAAATATTCTTTATGCGAAGCATTGAGTTAGTTGCTATGGAAATACAAAAAGTCTGTAAGTTAAGTAACTACTCCTTTAGGCTAGTATTCCAACTCTTATCCCTCATTTTCTTCCTTCCAGGAAAAGCTGTGCTCTCCTTTTAAAATAAAGCAGAAGATTCTGTAATATTTACTTGTTGGCAAGCACCAGATACAGCTCTAGAGTATCTAAAATACCTGTGCATGTGTCTCATGTGGTTTGAACAATCTTCAATTTTCAGATGATTTGAAAGGAGAACTAGATGAATACATCCAAAAATACCTCCCTGGAAAAATCAAAGTGATAAGAAATCCAAAGCGCGAGGGCTTGATTCGAGGAAGAATGATTGGAGCGGCCCACGCCACAGGTAGGACTTTGCATGGCTCTTCTTGAGTGGTGAGAGCTCTGTTCTCCTGCCCTCCCGATCCTGCATCAGGCAGTGACAAGTGGAGCCTTAGTGGGCACTGGCGGCAGGAGAGATGAGGCTCATGCTGTTTTGGAAAGGCCTTTCCCTAGTGGAGCCCGTTGTCCCAAAGCCAGGCCCCAGGAAGGTGAGCTCTGGCGTCCTCACTGGTCTGCCTCTCTGATTCTCTTCAGCTGCGTTGCATCAGTTCAGGTTTCTGTTTATCTCTATGGAAGGCTGGTGCTGGTAATTTTCATTTACGATCTGGATAAAAGCTTTTCCTTTTAAAAATACATTTATTTAAGTTAAATGAATATGTTTAAAAATATTAGGTGTCTAATATTTCATGTAGTACCTGGAAATATGCACCCCCCCCCCAAAATCATAAAGATGACTTTAGAATTCTGAAACTTTGGTGGGGCATCCCCTCGTAGTGAGAAAATCTGCCTTCCCACACACTGCCCTCCTCAGGATGAGCAGTCCTGGGCTTCGCGGTGGCTGGCGCTGCTGTCTGCCACCACCCGTCCTGTACACCCGCTGTCCCGTTTGTGGGGTTTATTTGCGACTTCATTTGTAGTCTTCCTTCTTCCCTCCTCTCTCTTTTTTTTAAATTTTTTTCCTTTTATTTTTTATTTTTATTTTTTCCATTTATTTTTATTAGTTGGAGGCCCCTCCTCTCTCTTAACACCTGCAGCAAACAGAAGCAGTTAACAAAACATGAGGCGCAGCTCCGCTTCATCCAGTCCACAGTCACACGCAGGCTGAATTCAAGGCTTATGATCTTTCTTCTTATAGAGTTCTAGTCAAATAAAGACTCTCTGACTTGGCTGTTTTGACTTACAGAAGGCACGAGATAGGAAACTGGCATGTTTGTGGGGTACGGCAAGATCGTGTCACAGAACACTGTACTTTCCCAGTACATTGTTACTGCAAGCTTTTCTTTTTCAGGCAACAGTAGTCATCTAGTTTTTTCCTTTATGTTGTGTTGGTCCTTGTTCAAATATAGTTTGGGATCTGTCAAAAAAAAAAGTTTTGGGGAAATCTGTCTCAGGTTCAGGGTGACCATGTATTTTTTTTTTTTTTTCAGGGTGACCATGTATTATCATCCTTCATTTAGTTAAACTGACTTTAATGGAAAAAGTAATATTTTTCAAATTAAGAAAAGCTATTAAATTTTCTCCTGAAAGGAACCTTGATAAGAGGTTGAACAGTTTGCCTTTCTGCATTAAATGACGTCTGGTGACCTTGTGAAGGTCGTTCACAGGTGCTGAAGGACACGGCCAGGTCACCGTCATACTGGAGCACTTTCTTGCTGGAGGTTCTGCTGTTGTTAATTGAAATAGGATGCATCGGTTGCTTTATGAAATCCATGTAAAATCTATATCAATACATTTATTTCATGGATAAAGTTTTGGAATAATAATAATGCTGTCTGATGATGAGATTCTGAGTTTTTCAGGTGTTCAGGGATAACCATTAAGTTATCAAAGAAACCCTCACTCCTGTTCATGTTTATCAAGCAGAGTTAGAAATGCATGAGAAAATCTTCACGGTTTTTATTTTATTGCCAAGAAGAAAAGTGTATCCTGTGGCCCATGAGACTGAGGGAATTAGAAAGGAAAGGTGGGAAATGGAGGGCGAGCTGGTCACGTGGCTCTCGAGTGGTGGATCCATGGGAGCAGGGAGCTGTGCAGCAACGTGATGAGCTGGCTGCATGCCCCTCACTCCTGAGAGTCCTGTTGTAGAAATAATTGGTAACGGGTCACGTTTATGAGTCACCAGTGAAAGTGAGCTACGTTCTCTAGCCTTGGTTTGCTGAAGCAGGGACATGTTACGTAGTAAATTTACAAATATATCCATTACAGTAATTGTAATAAAAATACACACAGCTGACCACTCCTGTTGCACTGCTCCATATCTGGCTGTCAGAGAACTGGATTGTTTCCGTGAGACTATCTTTTTTTTTTTTTTTTTTAACTGAGGAGAATATGAATTGTCTGTAACTTTCTTCAAGACTTGGTTTATGGTCTGTGTATGTTCTTCAGCCGTGGCAGCACCCTTGAAGCAGGATTTCCCGGCTGACTGACTCCTAGGACTGATTTGATAGCTGGGGCTGGAAGGGTGGCGGCTGCTTTCTCCTCTGCACAGGTGTTGTCCCTGGAGCTGGTGCCCATTCTTGAATCGTGAGTGGCACTGCCCTCAGGGCCTCTGTGGTTTTCCTCCACAGGAGAAGTCCTGGTGTTCCTGGACAGCCACTGCGAGGTGAACGTGCTGTGGCTGCAGCCCTTGCTGGCCACCATCCAGGAGGACCGGCGGACGGTGGTGTGCCCGGTGATCGACATCATCAGCGCCGACACCCTGGCCTACAGCTCGTCCCCTGTGGTGCGGGGGGGCTTCAACTGGGGGCTGCACTTCAAGTGGGACCTCGTCCCACTCTCTGAGCTCGGGGGACCGGAGGGAGCTACTGCACCAATAAAGTAAGCCTTCTCCTGTCTGTTGGAAAAACTCCCCGAAGAGAAAACATGCTCAAAGATAATTCCTTTCTCTTTGCAAAAAAGCACAAGTGTTGGCTTGTTTGTCCATGACAAATTTTTGAGTGCTTGCTGAATTTTATGTACTCTGCCAAGACCTAAGGAAAGATTTAAGGATAAGAAATTGTCTATGCTCTCAGGATTTATATCTCAGTGAGAAAGGCAGGAGAAGTCAAAAGTATCCTGGGATAATTGTTGTGTAGGACAGCCTGGAAGGACCCCCTGTGTTGTGTTGTTTTTATCAGACCCCATGGTTATTGTGTTGGTCATTAACATTTCCAGTTCTTTGCTAGTGTGAGTGGTGCTGTGAAGAACATTTAATACATAACTACTATTAGGATGGATTCCTACCAGCAGTGCACAAAGCCATGGTGGTGGTTTAGTCACTAAGTCATGTCCAACCCTTGTGACCCCATGGACTGTAGCCCGCCAGGCTCCTCTGTCCATGGAGATTTCCCAGGCAAGGATACTGGAGTGAGTGCCACTCCCTTCTCCAGGGGGTCTTCCCGACCCAGAGATTGAACCCGGGTCTCCTGCACTGCAGGCAGGCTCTTTACTGACTGAGCTACAAGGGAAGCCCACACCAAGTCATAGTATGTGATCTGTTTTCAGTTTTCATCCATGTTCTCGAATATTATAAATCTGCTCTTATGTCTTATTTCTCCTTATTTCTGTTTGCTTCTAAATTTCTCATGTCAATCTCATGTTTATCTATATTTATACTTTTTCAAGTTCTTGAGTCCGTTCTTTTTTTAGACTTTTTTTTTTTGTAAAAAAAATAGCATATGTAAAAAAAAATACACATCTGTGGGAGTGTATATATATGCATACAATTTAATAAATGGTTGTAATGTGAACACCTGTGAAACTACCACCCAGGTGAAGAAATAGCACCCACATGCCCTTTGTACCTCCTCCTGGTCACAGCGCAGGCCTTGTCCCTAGAGCTGACCCTCACTGTTTCGTTGCTCTCCTATAGTCTTACCACCTGTGTGTGACTAGACAGGGTAATTTAGTCCAGTTTTCTCTGCTCTCAGACTTCATGAAAATGAGGCTATGACTCATCTTGCTTTTAGTCACATTGCTTTAAAAGCCTCTGTGTTGCATTACATAGCTGTAGTTGAATCATTTTTATTGCTTTTTATAATTATTAACATAACATTTATCCATTTACTGTTGGTGGGGCAGTTGGGTTGTTTTCAATTGGTTTTTATTTTTTCACCTTATACACAGTAGTACTGTTGTCAGCATTCTTTTTAATGTGTTTTTTAATTGGAGGTAAATTGCTTTGCAATGTTGTGTTGGTTTCTGCCATACAACAATGCAGATCAGCCATAATTATACACATACCCTCCCTCCCCTCTCCCCATCCCACCCCTCTACGTCATCAGAGTGCCAGGCTGAGCTCGCTGTTATGTGGCAGCTTCTCACCAGCTGTCCGTTTTACATGTGATGGAGTGTATGTGTCGATGCTACTTTCTCCACTCGTTCCACGCTCTCCTTCCCCCACTGTATCTACAAGTCCATTCTCTACATCTGCATCTCCAGTTCCTTTCCTGCCAATGGGTTCATCAATACCATTTTTCTCGATTCTAAGTCGTGTCCCAACTCTTTGTGACCCCATGGACTGTATCACAATAGGCTCCTCTGTCCTCCCCTATATAGATAAATATATGTATGTGTGTGTGTTAATATACAGTATTTGTTTTTCTGATTTACTTCACTCTGTGTAACAGGCTCCAGGTTCATCCACCTCACTAGAACTGACTCAAATCCGTTCTCTTTATGGCTGAGTGATAGTCCACTGTATATACGAACCACATCTTCTTCATCCATTTGTCCATCTGTAGTTGGACATCTAGGCTGCTTCCATGTCCTGGCTATTGTAGATCGTGCTGCAGTGAACACTGGGGTACATGTGTCTTTTAGAGTTGTAGCTTTCTCAGGGTATATGCCCAGTAATGGGATTGCTGGGTCATATGGTAGATTTATTCCTAGTTTTTTAAGGAATCTCCATACCGTTCTCCATAATGGCTGTATCAGTTTACATTCCTGCCAACAGTATAGGGTAATTCCCTTTTCTCAACACTCTCCAGCATTTGTTTGTAGATTTTTGGATGATGGCCATTCTGACTGGTGTGAACTGATACTCATTGCAGTTTTGATTTGCATTTCTCTAGTAATTAGTGATGTTGAGCATCTTTTCATGTGTTTATTGGCCATCTGTATGTCTTTGGAGAAATGTCTGTTTAGGTCTTCTGCCCATTATTTGATTGGGCTGTTTGTTTTTCTGATATTGAGCTGTTATGAGCTGCTTGTATATTTTGGAGATTAATCTTTTGTCAGTTGTTTCATTTGCAATTATTTTCTCCCATCCTGAGGGTTGTCTTTTTTTCCCCTTTCACTGAGGCTTGTCTTTTAATCTTGTTTCCTTTGCTGTGTAAAAGCTTTTAAGTTTAACTAGACCCCATTTGTTTTTGTTTTTATTTCCATTACTCTAGGAGGTGGGTCAGAGAGGATCTTGCTGTCATTTATGTCAAAGCTGTACTGCATATGTTTTCCTCTAAGAGCTTTATAGTTTCTGGCTTAAGTGGCAACCCACTCCAGTATTCCTGCCTGGAAAATCCCATGGACGGAGGAGCCTGGTAGGCTACAGTCCATGGGGTCCCAGAGAGTTGGACATGACTGAGCGACTTCACTTTCACTATACATTTAAGCCTTTAAAACACTTTTAGTTTATTTTTGTGTATGGTGTTAGAAGTGTTCTAGTTTTCTTCTTTTACATGTAGCTTTCCAGTTTTCCCAGCACCACTTACCGAGGAGGCTGTCTTTTTTTCATTGTTCTTGCCTCCTCTGTCAAAGATAAGGTGCCCACAGGTGCATGGGTTTATCTCTGAGCTTTCTGTCTTGTTCCATTGAGCTGTATTTCTGTTTTTGTGTGGATACCATACTGTCTTGTGACTGTAGCTTTGTAGTGTAGTCTGAAGTCAGGAAGGTTAATTACTCCAGATCTGTTTTTTTCCTCAAGATTGCTTTGGCTGTTTGGGGTCTTTTGTGTTTCCATACAAAAAATAGTTCTGTGACAAATCCATTGGTAGTTTGATAGAAATTGCATTGAATCTGTAGATTGCTTTGGGTAGTATAGTCATTTTCACAACACTGATTCTTTCAATCCAAGAACATGGTATATTTCTCCATCTGTTTGTTGTCTTTGGTTTCTTTCATCAATGTCTTATAATTTTCTGTATACAGAAAACTATATATACTTGTCTCTTTAACTAGGTTTATTCCTAGCTGTTTTATTCTTTTTGTTGCAGTGGTGAATGGGATTGTTTCCTTAACTTCACTGATTTTTCACTGTTAGTATCAAGGGATTTCTGTGTATTAATTTTGTATCCTGTGACTTTGCTATACTCTTTGATTAGCTCTAATAATTTTCTGGTGGAGTCTTTAAAGTTTTCTATGTGTAGTATTCATGTCCTCTGCAAACTGAGAATTTTACTTCTTTTCCAATGTGGATCCCTTTTATTTCTTTTTCTTCTCTGACTGCTGTGGCTAGAGCTTCCAGAACTATGTTGAATTAATAGTGGCAAGAGTGGGCACCCTTGTTCTGTACCTGATCTTAAAGGAAATATTTCCAGTTTTTCACTCCTGAGAATAATGTTTGCTGTGGGCTTGTCATACATGGCCTTTATTACGTTGTGGTAGGTTCCTTCTGTGCCTACTTTCTGGATGATTTTTATCATAAATAGGTACTGAATTTTGTCATACCTACTGTCAGCAGCCTTCACAGCTTCTGGTTTGCAGGCATGAAGCTGCCCAGTCATAGGCATGCCTGTCTTCGCTTGTAGTCGAGAACACTCCCCACACCTCCCACTGGAATGCCACTGGCTCCTCAGCTGGCCTTTGGGTACTTGCCAGCTTCCTTTCATCTGAAGGCGACTTGGAGGGAGGCTGATGGAGACCTGGCCAGCTCAGGTTGCTGACCTGAGTTCCTGGCAGGGTGGGCGTGTCTTCTGCTCTTAGACTTTGTGGCAGTTTTCTGAGAAGTCCATGAGACACCCCCAGCTCTCAGCGGTCTTGTGTCTTCACCCGCTGGCAGCCCTTCTTCCTGCCAGGGCCTTCAGTGTGGCTCTCTGCCCATCTGCTCCCGGCTCTGCGATGGGAGCACGATCATGAGCACCCCTCAGGAGAGCAGGCTGCCCGTGGGGACCGTGCGTGTCTCCATCTGCGCCCCCGCGTCTGGGACTGGAGGCAGACGGCGTGCTGACTCCACCTTAGGCGCTCCTTCACCGGCGCAAGGGGGACGCTCAGACTGTGCTCCGTAGTCTCAGTATTAGTGCAGTGGCCAGTTTCTTCATCATCTTCAGGGCATTTGTTTAATTTTTAATATTTTTAATAAAAAAACATATATCACAGTAACGTATCAGAGTATAGAACAATTTAGAATGAGAAGTGGCCAACTCTACCTCTGCCCCATTCTCAGTCCTGTCCCCCAGAGGCAGTTCCTTTTAACCAGTTTTATTTTCTGGTCTTCCGTTTCTTACTTCCTGAACTGTAACCAGTATGTGTGGTCCTCTTTCCAACATCACACTGACTTCAGACCTGCTCTGCTGGGAAGAGGAAGAAGTAGTTCATTTTACATCACTCCAGGTACTGCTTATCTCTTAGGGTTGCAGTCTGGTTATTTTGTTTCTGTATTGTTCTTTTTGATGCCTTTTTAAAAAAAATTTGTTTTTTGTTCTGACTTTTGACAGCATCAGGTGACACGCTTCTCTGAATGGTAAGGGTAAGCTCTTTCACTCTCAAGATGGCGAGGTTGCTAACTTCTTGAGTTGTATGTTTAGATTTTTTAGATTTTTAGCCTTTTTTCTTTTATATATATATATATATATATATATATAAAAGATGGTTAAGTTTTCTCCTAATCATAGCCTTAGCTGCATCCCACAAATTGTGACGTATCATTTTAAATTGTCATTTATTTAAAAATGTCTTCCTTGTGTTTTCTCTGACCCATAGTTTATTTGGCAGTACATTTATTATTTTACAGGCATATAGAAATTTTGTTCAGTTCAGTTCAGTCGCTCGGTTGTGTCCGACTCTTTGTGACCCCATGAATCGCAGCGCGCCAGGCCTCCCTGTCCTTCACAAACTCCGGAGTTGACTCAGACTCATGTCCATCGAGTCAGTGATGCCATCCAGCCATCTCATCCTCTGTCGTCCCCTTCTCCTCCTGTAGTTGTTATTTAATCCTAGCTTACACTGTGGTCAGAATCTGTATTTTCTGCAGTTGTCAAGATGGGATTCAGCATCTGTTGGGCAAGGTTTATTGTGTTGTAAAAATACTCTCTTTAAAAAATTTATGTTCTATCAGTTGTTTCTTTATATATTTTGTTCATATACTTTGAGGCCATGTTAATAGATGCATGACAGTTTAGAATTATTGTATCTCCTGGTGAATGAAAACCATGTATTGTTATGAATTGCCTTTCACCGTATACTTCTAGAATAGTGAAACTTTCACTTTATAGTCTGACATTAATGTGCCTGTTCCAGCTTTGTTTTGATTAGGATTGAATTAGATAACTTCCCTTCCTTTTTGTGGTCAGTCTTCCCATGGTCTTATATTTACGTGTCACAGGTAGTTAGATAGTTATTTCATTTCTAAACCAGTGTGGGAAACTTTGTTTTAATTAGGGCTTACTTGATTCCATTCAGTAATATCACTTATATTTTTGTGTCTATGATTACAGTGGTACTCTTTGCTTTCTATCTGTTCTGTTTTCTTTTCTCTCTGCTCTTTTGGTCTGAATTCCGATTTATTATTCTGTTCCCAACTGCCACCCATTATTAGACATTATAAACATTCTCACATTTTGTTTAGTGGGTACCTTAGAGAATATAACCTTCATCCATGACTTATCAAAGTGTAATATAAATTGGTACTTTTTCCAGACAGAGCAAGGATCCTCAGATATTCCTACCTCAGTTACCCACCTCAGGTTGTGTTGAATATAGGTGTGTATGTTTAACCTCCACAAGCCACTTTTTATGCAGGCGCTATTCATTTTGGTTTAGCTATATATTTCCCTTCTATCCTTTCTACATCTGCAAGCTTCCCCCTAGAATTTATTTTCATTATGACTAAAGGACACATTTTAGTGTTTGTTTTTGCTGGACCTTCAGGTGAGGTTACTCCTCCTTTTCTGAAAATGTCTTTGTTTCATCATTATTTTGAAAAATAATTTTACTTGATATTCAGTTCTAGATTGGCAGATGCATTCTTAGGGCTTTGAAGGTATCATTCAAGAACTTTTCTGGTGAGATGTCAACAGCTGTCTTATTTTTATTTCTTTTGAAGGCAATCTCTTTTCATCGGCTGCTTACATTTTCTTTCTGTCATTGTCAGAAGTGTTTTTCAGATATGCATAAATTTGATTTATTGATAGCATCTAATTATCTGCCAGATTCTCAGCCTTGTCTTTTATGTTTGGACATATTGAACAGCTGGAAGTCTCTGCCTGGTGACTGCTGTTTGAAACTCCTGTGCATCTGTTTCTTTTAGATTGTTTCTCTTTATTTTTTACTTCCGTGTGATATATTTTCTTGATTGTCTGGTTATTTGTTAGTTTGCTTGTTTATTTCTAAAGGTAGACATTGTTATGAAAAATGATAGCAACACAGTCATACAGGGATAGCGTTTTCTCCTGCAGAGAATATTGCATCTCTCTGAGGAGCAGCTTGGGACTAGACTCCATGACTCCTGGTGCAGAGTTCCAGGAAGTGAGATGATTGAAATCCAGGCTGGAGTCTCTGTGGGAGCCAGTCTACATCAGATTCTCACAAACACAGGGTTTCTCTGCTGTGGCAGGATTGACCTTTCGGGCCAGATGGTTCTTCTTGGTGGAGGGGTGGGGCTGTCTGTGCATTTCAGGATGTTTATCCTGAACCCCATCACATACCAGCAGCACTCCTCCCCCTGAGCTGTGATAGCTGAAAATGTTTCCACACTTCATGAAGCGTTTGCTTGAGCACCAGTGGTCTCCCACGTTTGCATCCAGGTCAAAGTGTGGCTTGTCTGGTTTCTCCTTGTCAGGCCCTGGAGCCCAGTTCTTATCCCAGGGGGCTCCGTGGGCCTGTCAACAGCAGTTAAATAGTTCAGGTGGATTTCTGTCAACTGTAGTCATAAATAAAAAAAGGACTTGTGATGCTTAGAAAAGTAGCTTTTTTCTTGCCAGCTCTCACAATCTAGAAAACTTAAGTAGGCAGCCCAGCTCATTCCCTCATAAATTAAACATTTCAGAATAGTTATATCTAGTTTTTATTGTTGTTCAGTCACTCAGTTATGTCCGACTCTTTGTGACCCCATGGACTGTACCCCCCCACGCTTCCCTGTCCTTCACTGTCTCCGGGAACTTGCTCAAACTCATGTTCTTTGAGTTGGTGACATGAGTTTTTATTAATAATGTTCTAAAACTGCACTGAATTAAAAAAAAAAAAGTAGATAGTTGACTATAGAATTGGTACAGTAACTGTCTTCCTTTTCTAGGTCACCTACAATGGCTGGAGGATTGTTTGCCATGAACAGAAACTATTTCAATGAACTTGGACAGTATGACAGTGGCATGGATATATGGGGAGGAGAAAATTTAGAAATATCTTTTCGGGTAAATTTTTTTTTGTATGTTAATCAGTTAACTGTGCAGTGAAATGTAATTTTCATCTGTGATCCCATGTTTTCTGTAAATCATCTTACTATTTCACCATAATTTATGATATAGATAATACCATTCAAAATAGCAAAAGCCTCTGAGAAGCCTTATATTTATTTTATAAGAATTTTAAAGTGACAGTTGGTGTAAATTTAGAGGTCTGTGTGTGCATTGACTCTAGAGTTTTTGTTTTTCCTTTGTCCATTCATCTTATTTGATGACCTAGGACAATACAGTTCTGGTCATATTTTCCTGACTGCCCGAGATCACCATTGTTCACACCTGTCTCCTGAGGAAATTATTAATAGCTCCCCATTTACTTTCAGGAGTAGCCCAGATAAATCTCTTCTCTCATTGCTGAGGCTGGAAAGATGACGGTCGTGGGTGGGGTCTGTGGCTCAGGGAGTTGTGCTAGTGGTTAGGACACCAGCTTTGGAGAAGGCGGGAAGAGGACAAGGGGCAGAATGCAGGTTTCTCGCTCTCGGTCCCATCTCCTGGTGTGTCACGGGGTCCCTGTTCAGATACCGTGATACCTTGTGTGTGTCGTTTTGTCTTTTTGCAAATGTATCGATTCCAGTTTTTCCTATGTAATCTTTAGAATTTGTAAGCTGTGAGCTGCATAAGATATTATTAGTCTTACTGTGTAGATAAGGTATTAAAATAACTAAATAAAGTGACTCAGTCAACGCAAAATTTAGACCAGAACCAAGATCTTCTGATTCTTACTATTTTTTATAAAATACTATTTTTCTAAAAATGTGTGTGCTTCATGAGAAGTACGTGTGAAACTGAGGTTAGAGGATTGATAAGCATTCCTCGTCCCTAAGTCCTGAAGGCCAGCTTCCTTGGCCTGTCAAAACACCATGTCTGAGAAGACAGTTTTAGACACAGGAGAGTAAAAGAATGCCACATTGTTTTTAGGGTTTGGTTTCTTTTTAATCATAAAGACAGATAATTTTAAAATATGTACTTTGCCTTCATTCTGATAAGACACCTGTTTAGTAGAGGTTAACCTCATAAAAGCCATGTGCTGACCCTCAGCACTGTGGGCACTATTAACATGTGTTCTGCTTCCGACCAGATCTGGATGTGTGGAGGTAAGCTGTTCATCATCCCTTGCTCTAGAGTTGGACACATTTTCCGGAAAAGGCGGCCGTATGGGTCCCCCGAGGGCCAGGACACTATGACGCACAACTCCCTGCGGCTGGCACACGTGTGGCTGGACGAATACAAGGTGAGGCCTGGCTTCGGGACGGCTGCAGACAGCCGCTGCTCTCCTGCCTGTCTGTCTGACGACCTTCATCTCTGTCCGGGTCACTTTCCTCTTTTCTTCACCCAGGCTTTCACTCAGTTTCTTTATTCTGGCTCCTCTTTAACTTTTCCCGGTGTCTAGTCTGTGAGAGGTAATTAGCCAACGTCAGGGGACACCCGTTTCTCCTCTGCTACACGCAGCTTTCAGTGTTGCCCCTCTCATGGCTTGGCTGAGGTGACGAAAAAACCCATTCACTTACTTTTTCTTTTAAATTCAGGAGCAGTATTTTTCTTTAAGACCTGATCTGAGAACCAGAAATTATGGAAACATCAGTGAGCGTGTTGAATTGAGAAAGAAGTTGGATTGTAAATCATTTAAATGGTATTTGGATAACATTTACCCGGAGATGCAGATATCTGGGCCCAATGTCAAACCCCAGCAACCCATTTTTATCAACAGAGGGCCAAAGCGCCCCAAAGTCCTTCAGCGCGGAAGGGTAAGAAAGTGATAAGAAAGTGATTCTATCACAATGTTTCAGTAAATGTTGCCTAATAAATGAAATTGTATACTTCATAGAATATTTAAGGATAGGCTTTAGCTTGCTTTTCATTAAATATTTTTTAGGAGAATTTCCTCAATTCAGGTATATTTAGTATCTTTGCTGTTAATATTAAGATCCTTTACCTGCCAGTATTAGAGAAAACACAACTTCTCTAAGCTATGTGCTAGCTTCCAAGAGCCTATAAATGTGAAGGCATAAATGAAGACATTGTACACGAGCGTAAAATTCATTTGGCAGAGACCAGAAAAAAAATGAAAGGAGAAATGGGGCTGCTGCAGACAGGAGGGAAAACCGGTGGTTCGGGTCCAGGTGGTAGTGTGCAGGCAGACTGCACAGCCCCATGTCCTGGGTTCTTTCACAGTGTCCACAGTTCTTCAGTGGTTGGAATTAAGCCTAGACCTTTTTCCCATTTTGTTCTCTCTACCTTAAGTAAAAATGGATGCATACCACATAGTTGAAATCCCTGTTACTATTACCTTGCGTATGTAATCACCTTTAATGTTCAAAAATGATCACTTTGGGCTTACCTGCTACATCAGCTAGCTGGTAAAGAATCCGCCAGCAATGTGGGAGGACCCTGGTTTGATCCCTGGGTTGGGAAGATCCCCTGGAGAAGGCCATGGCAACCCACTCCAGTCTTCTTGCCTGGAGAACTCCATGGACAGAGGAGCTTGGTGGGCTACAGTCCATAGGGTCGCAAAGAGTTGAACATGGCTGAGCAACTAAGCAAGTGCTGATCACTTTGCCTAAACGAGATACTCTTTTATGTAGCTCATCTTTGAGATTCGTGTGGCGTTTACAGTCTCTATTTACCTCCAGTTAGGTACGTATATTAATTTAGATACTGGCTGTTTCGACTTTCTGTTTACGCAGTGTCATCTCCAGGTTCTTTACTGCAGAGATGGTAAATTTGATTTCCTTCCTCCCCTGGAACAGATGAGCAGTCTTCTATCTGTAGGTGGAATTTCTACTTGACATACCACCTGCATATGTTGTTAAAATTGCCTATAACCTTGAAGTCACTGTTGTGATGATCCTATGTGCTGAAGCCAGAATTCAGTAATAAGAAATGCTTCCCTTTTTAGGACCTTGAAAATCCATACCTTTGAAATATTTTCATGTTTCCTTTCTATTCATCCATATGTACCACATTGTCAGGAGCAATCTCTTCTTTTACAGCTCTATCACCTTCAGACCAACAAGTGTCTGGTGGCCCAGGGCCGCCCGAGTGAGAAGGGAGGCCTCGTAGTGCTGAGGGCATGTGACTACAGTGACCCAAACCAGGTGAGTGATGCCCGCACTCACTCTTGAGGGTGGGGCAGACATCAGGGTTTTAATCTGATTTTCCTTCTAATTTCTACGTACAGGAAAGTAGAACACATCTGTATTTTCATATTCTTTTCCATCATGGTTTATCACGGGGTGCTGAATGTAGCTCCCTGGGCTGTATGGTCGTGGTTTGCGTCCGTTAACCCCAGTTCTCAGCCCATCCCTCTCCCCACGTGCCAACAAGCCTGTTCCCTGTGGATCTGTCTGCTTCAGAGATGAGTTCACCGGTGTCTGCTATAGATTCTACATGTAAGTGACACCGTGTGCTATTTCCCTCTGACTGACCTCACTTAGTAGGTTAATCTCTAGGTCCATCCATGCCGCTGCACATGGCATCACTTCATTCTCACGGCTGAGCACACGCACCGCATTGTCTCATCCCTTCATCTGCTGATGGACACGTTGGTTGTTTCCGTGTCTTGGCTATTGTGAACAGTGCTGCTTGTGAACGTAGAGGCGCATGCATCTTTTTAAATTAGTTTTGTCCAGATGTGTGCCCAGGAGTGCGACTGCAACTCTGTTTAGTTTTTTGAGGACCTTCCATACTGTTTTCCACAGTGGATATACCAGTTTACTTTCCCATCAACAACACATGAGAGTTCCCTTTTCTCCACACCCTCTCCAGCACGTTATTTGTAGGCTTTTTACTGATGGCCTTTCTGACCACTGAGATAGTGCTCACTGTGGTTTTGGTTGCATTTTCTCTGATAATGAGCAACGCTGAGCATCTTCTCCTGTGCCTGTTGGCCATCGGTGTGTCTTCTTTAGAGTCTTCTTCCCATTTGTTGTTAAGTTGTATGAACTATTTTTGTATTTTGGAAATTAAGTCACTGGTTGCATCATTTGTGAGTATTTTCTCCCAGTCCATACACAGGGTGTCACTTCATTTTGCTTATGGTTTCCTTTGCTGTGTAAAAAGCTTGCAAGTTTGGGTAGGTCCCATTTGTTTATGTTTGCTTTTATTTCTTTCACTTTGAAAGGCTGACCTAAGAAAACATTGGTACAATTAAAATGTCAGAGAATGTTTTGCCTGTGTTCTCTTCTAGGAGTTTTATGCTGTCATGTCTTACTTTTGAGTATTTTGTGTATGGTGTAACTTCATTGATTTACATGGGGTTGTCGAACTTTCTCAAACACTGCTTGAAGTTAAATTGTTGTTTTATAGGTCATTAATTTGTTGTCTCCTGTAGTATTTTGTTTAGAGCATTCTTCTCCGTTATACAGAATGAATTTGAAGTGTATATATGGATTTGTTAGAAATGGCAAAGGAAGTACACTTTCTTTCTGGCCAAGAGCATTAAATCTGCACTGAATGAATCAGAGTATCTTTTACAGAGTTTTCTGTGGAACTGAGTTTTCCTCATTTTTAGTAGTTCAGAGGAACCTTAGCAAAATTTCAATTCATGTCATCCACATAATTTATTCTCACACTCTGTGTGTCCTTTCAGCGATTCTGCGTGGCGGACGGGCTCATTCAGGAATGGAAAGAACACCTGGGCCTTTTTTGGATAGATTGCACTCTTTGAAATTTCTAGGACTCCATGCACACTAAGATGTTAACATACTGGAAAACACAGCTGAAAAAGGATTTTGTGCCACATCTGGGTGCGAGAGCTCTGTACTGTGGACAGGGGAGTGGTCAGTCATAGTGAGGAGACTAGTGAAACTCATTCCAGAACAACGTTAGGACGTTTGAGGAGATGGAGTTATTCTCCTGTCCATACTACATTATGACTGTGCAGAATTGTACTTAAAACACCCTAGCCACCTGTGGCTGTTGAAATTTAATTGAAATACATTTTAACAATCCATTTCCAGTTCTCAGCAGCCACACGTGGGCTGGTGGCTCCTTTGTCAGACAACATAGATGATGTTCTGTCACAGCACTGATGGGGAGCCCTCTCTCCATGTTAAAAGACTCAGCACACATGTTTTGGACCCACATGAAAAACTAGCAATGAATAAAATAATGCAGAGGATAGGAGAAAAAGTTTTCCTTTTAGATTTATCGATGGTGCATGTTGGAGAAAAGTTATTCATTGCACTTGTCCATTTCAGCCACATTCAGGCCTTTGTTTTTTCTGAAAAGACTCTGAGACTATAAAGATGATCAGTGAACTTGGGCCCTGGGACTAGAGTATAATATTTCAGGCTGACGTGATGAGGAATGTGGACCTCATCATAAGAGCCTTGTGAGTCTCCTGTGTACACAGGGCAAATCGGCAGCCTCGCTGGGCTCCTGCTGTCCTTACACAGGCCGAGAACTAAAGCACTGTACAACTGTGGGATCTTCCGTCAGTCCAGTCTGTCCACTCCCGCACGAAATGTGCCAAGGGTCGTGCAATCTGAATTTCAGAACCTAAAGCAAAACTGGAGGTTTTAACATTTTTATTTTTTTCTTCCTTAGGTTTGGATTTACAATGAAGAACATGAGTTGGTCTTAAATAATCTCCTTTGCCTGGATATGTCAGAAACTCGCTCATCTGACCCCCCGAGACTCATGAAGTGCCATGGGTCCGGAGGATCCCAGCAGTGGACCTTTGGGGTGAGGAACCTGCCTGATGGTGACAGGAGGTGTGAGGAGCCGGACAGGGCTGAGGGGTCCCAGTCTACCTTGTAGCCGGTGGTCCTGAGTGTGCAGCAGCCCATAAGTCAGTCGTCTTCAGTGTTCCACATCTCGTCGAGATTTTTGCCTCTTCTTTACCATATTCTGGCAGTAAAAGTTTTTTAATTGGCAAGTAATTGGTGGTGTTTTTTCTCCACTTTATTTTCAGAGGAATAACCGGCTGTACCAGGTGTCAGCGGGCCAGTGCCTCAGAGCAGTCGATCCACTGAGTCGCAAAGGCTCTGTTGCCATGGCGATCTGTGACGGCTCCTCCTCACAGCAGTGGCATTTGGAATCTTAAGGTGGACACTGGTCGGAACGGTGACTGTCATGCTCCTCCCCACCACAGAGCCTGAAGGAGTGCCTCCCCAGGAGGTTGAAGTCATTTCTGGACTGCTGCTAAGGATTCCTTCCTTATGGCAGGAAACCAGAGTGCAGTGTTAACTCTAGATCTAGTCAGGTTTGTGTAGAAGGATAAAGTCCAGGAGATTGATGTGTCTGTTCAGGTTTATTTGATCAGGAATTTGTGATTTCCCTTCTTAGATTTCATAGGTGATGGTTACTTTTTAAATTTCTACTACCATGTTCTGAATAATTTTAAATATACTGAATCCACATTACTTTTAACTTTAGAAGGCATTCATTTATAAGATTATATTTAAGAGTTAATATTATAAATTATTTTGGTGAATATGGTACTACCCACATTTACATTAAAGGATCCTTTTGATTATTTACCCTAGGATTCTTTGTCTGCTCTTTCTTTCATCTTGTATTGGAGCCTCTGCTCTGACTTATCCTGTGTGTGTGATACATGGTAAGTTCACTGAGGTTTGGCTAATGGACCAATAAGTGAGGTGTAGGTCACAGCCCTAAGTAACCTCAGCAGTGTTTGCTTCTTAGCTTGAACTATGTGAGTTTTAAGTATTCAGATTCACTGAGTCAGCCTCAAAGTTGCCAGTGAAATACCCAGGTAGAGTTATTAAATAGGAGGTCAGGATTTCAGAAGCTATATCTCAGAGGTATGAATTTAGAGATCATCTGTATATATTATAAATATCCAAATATAAAGTGAGTTTTTTCACCAAAAGTACATCTCAGGAGACAATCTCATGGGGAACTTCCTTATTTTATGTTGAAACACAAAGTTTAAGTACCATATTTGAAACATGTTACAGGATAATACATGTATACACACACACTGAACAGTTAGATATAAACAGGTCCTCCTGACCCCAGATAGTGTCTGTGTGGCCTCACCAAAGTCTTGGAAACCAAGTCCGACCCCGTGACATCTTGGAGCAGCTAAGAGGAGAGTGGCAAGGATGGTGACATAGAAAGACCCTAAGCTTGCCTCCTCTCACGGGCACACCTAAATTGCAACTATTTGTAGAAAAACCATTGATGACCTTGGCCATGGCCTTGCTCACCAGAAGGCCTAGGATTTGGCCCCACACACCAGCACACAGGCATCAGACCTTGGGCCCTAGCCTCATCCACCAGTCAAAAACCACAGCCCTGCAGACCCCACCCACTAGCAATCTGATACCAGCTCTGGGACCCCTGGAAGCAAGACTTGAGGACCTTTCTCTGCCCACCAGCAGGCTGGCACTAGCTATGTAAATAGGTCAAAGTGTCCCCAGTTAGAAGGCAGAGATTAGAGTGGATAAAAATGTAGGACCCAACTATATGCTGCCTGTAAGAAACTCACTTTAAAGAAGATGACACAAGTGTTAAAAATGAAAGGATGGGGAAATTGAACACCCATTGGAAGATATCCAGAGTAGCTAAATTAATATTCGACGAAGGAGATTTCAGAGCAAAGAATACCCTGGAGATAATACCCCTTTATAATGATGAAGGCATCAACTCATTAAGAACAATCTCAAGCATCCATAAACCTAACAATTTCAACTGTGTCACCAAACAAGTGGGTGAAACAGGAGGATAGAGAAAACATAAATGAACAACACTATTAACCAGCTTGACAAAGAATACTCATCCTTTTCAAGTGCACATGAAATATTTACCGACAGAGATCACATGCCAGGACATTAAAGAAATCAATAAATTTATATAAATTCCAACTTATGCAAATTACATTAGCAATCAATAACAACTAGTAGAAATCAGTGATAAAGATACCTGGGGGAATTCCCTGGCCATCCACTGGCTAGGACTCCCATGTTTTCACTGCTGTAGGAATCAGTCCCTGGATACCTGGAAGATCAACCAGGAACATATTTCCCAATACTCGTGGGTCACCAAAGAAATCAAAGGGCTATTTTCAGCTGCCTGAAAATGAAAACACAACATATCAAAGGCTATAGGATGTAGCTCACTCACTACACGGGAAGTTTACAGAACTGAGCTGTATTAGAAAAGGCTAAAGGTTTAAAATTAATGATAAGCTTCCACCTTAAAGTAGAAAAAGAGAGAAAAAAGCAAAGACGAAATACTAGACAGAAATGGAAAACAAGAAATTAATGAAACCAAAGCTGGATTAAGATTATTGATAAATTGTCTACTAAGAAATTACCAACATCAATAATGAGTGGCAGCGTCACTAGAGATTCTGCAGATGTTAAAAACAGATAAGCAGTGGGAACTCTCATTCACTGCTGCTGGGAATGCAAAAGGGTATATGGCCACTTGGAAGATGGTTTGGCAGTTTCTTGCAAAACTAAATGCATCATACGATCAAAAACCTGCACACAGATGTTTACAGCAGCTTCATTTGTAATTGCCAAAGTCTGGAAGTAACTCATGTCCTTCTGTAGGTGAATGGGTAAACTGCCACGTCTAGACAATGGAATATTTAGTGCTAAGAAGAAATGAGCTATCAAGCCACAAAAAAACTGGAGGAACCTTTAATGTATGTTACTCAGTGAAAGAAGCCACCTGAAAAGTCTATATGCTGTATGATTCCAACTCTATGACATTCCGGAAAAGGGAGAACCATGGAGACAGTAATACATCACTCGTTGTCAGGGGTAGGGTGTGGGGAGAAAGATACGGGCAGGCAACTACTGTGTATGATCCTGTCACAGTGGACACAGCGGTCAGAACCCACAGGGTGAGTAAAACCAAGTGTGAAGTGTCACGTCGGCTACGGACGTGGGGTGAGAATCGTGTGTCAGGGTAGGTGTATCGGTTCTAACAAAGGCGCCCAAAGGACCACAAGACAAACGTCAACACAGAAATGATTGTGGAAGAAAAATACAAATGATTGTGGGAACTCCCTTGGTGTTCCGGTGGTTGGGACTCCGAGCTCTTACTGCCAAGGGCCCAAGTTTAACTCCTAGTCAGGGAACTATGTCCACAAGCTGCTCAGCCAAAAAATAAAACACAAACATATTAAAAAAGTGAATTGTACCTCTATGTAGCTTTCCAGGTGGCTCAGATGGTAACCAATCCGCGTGCAGTACGGGAGATGAAGGCAGACCCGGGTTTGATCCCTGGGCTGGGAAGATCCTCTGGAGAAGGAAATGGTACCCCACCCCCGTGTTCTTGCCTGGAGAACCCCATGGACAGAGGAGCCTGGCAGGCTGCAGTCTACGGGGTTGCAGAGTTTCACTGAAGCAACTGGGCACATTATAGCAACACTTCAAAATAAAAAATTACTGGGATTGTAACTAATTTACAATAGCATATGAAAAATATGAAAATAATTTTAAGGTTTGTACAGTGAGAAAAAACATTGCTAAGAGAAATTAAAGAAAACCTAAATAAATGGACATGAGTTTGAGCTAACTCTGGAGATAGTGAAGGATCTTTATAAAAATGGTGCTGGAAATAATTTTCTGTTTCTACAAATAAAAACGAACCTTGACTCCTATCTTACATACAAAATTTATTTCAACTTGGTCATAGATCTACATAGGAAAAAGAAAACTATAAAGCTTTTAGAGAAAAATGACAAATATCTTCCTATAGGAGAGGCAAAGATTTCTTTACTCATTTCAAAGCAGTCATCAAAGATCAATGAATTGGACTTTATCAAAATTAAAAGCTTCTGATGAAGACAGCATCGAGGAAGAAGATACAATTTGTACCCAAACTGTATAAAGTGCTTAAAACTCAATGTAAGGGATGTCTGTGGTAGGCCAGTGCTTGAGACTCCCCCCACCTGCCAGTGCAGGGACACAGGTTCAGTCCCTGGGCTGGGAGGGTCCCGCATGCCACGGGGCAGCTGAGCACGCGCGGCACAGTTACGAGACCGAGCCCCGCACCCGAGAGGTGACCGCAGTGGGAAGCCCGCACTGTGAGTGGAGAGCGGCCGGCACATGGCCACACAGGCCCAGCGCTGCTGAAGATAAAAATTTAAACCGATTTTCAAAATGAACAAATACTCACAGAGACGCTTAAGGAATGACGCATGGCTCTGCGTACGAAAAAGGTTAAATGTCATGGACGGCTGTCAGGGAAATACAGATTAAAACCAGTCAGATACCATTAAAATGGTTACAAAAAACAGACTGACGGGTTCTGAGGAAACAGAAAAGGTGCCGCGGTGCAGCTTTGGGGTTCCACCCCAGAGGACCCCCATGTCTGCTCAGACCAATGGATGGCTACGACGTTGCCTAGGTGACGAGGTCAACTCTAGACAAGTCAGCCGCTGAGAGGCCCGTGCGTTACCGACACGTGGGACAGGAGGCAGTGGGAAGCCTCTGGGTAGACCCCCGATCGGGGACAGGGATCGACTGGAAGCCGTGAATCGTTGCCCACTTGTGGTGGGAGAGCGAGCCGGGGGCCCTCCGGACTGGGATTTGCAGGAAGGAATGTGGGGCAGGAAGGAGCCACAGAGAGAGGGTCCAGAGATGTGCAGATGGGTCTCTTGAGTCTGGCTCTGTCCGTCTGTCCACAGCTAAGTGTGACCCCCCGCGAATAGGCCAAGAATACATTGTAAGGAAAGGCTAAGTTGTGGGAAGCTATGACCTGAACAGGCCAAGGCAGGCCCCTCGCCCAACACCCAGGGCACCCGTGTGCCCCCCCAGGTCAGACTCCTCCTTAGGACGCTTCCAGAACAAACTTCAAAACGAATTGACGCACGTCACTCAACTGCCACCAGAATAAACGAACGGTTTTTAAAAGAGCACAACATAACCCAACATAGCATTAACGCTTGAATTCTGAAACCCAATGAGGATTTCTAGACCTGGAAAGACATGGTCACCAGAGGGGCCCCGAGAAAGCGGCCAGGTTCATGCAGGGCAGACACACTGGCGTCCTGAACAGCCCTCCCTGCCCGCCTGCCAGGCGGGCCTCGGGGTGGCGGCGCCTCCAAGTCTCCTTCCTTGCCTGCTGGGTGGTAAGAGCCGGAGAGAGATCCGAGGAGGCATGGCCGCCCAAGAAGGGCCTCCCAGCCCGGCGAGATACCAGCATGTCCAGGCCTGTCCTGACGGACAGCTTCACAGACACGGGCTGCTGCCGAGGAGCAGCAAACGCCGACGGTCAGGATGGGTGCCTGGAGACTTGCTGTAAAACGGCGCAGTACAGAAGCTGTTTGGCTGTTCACGAAGCACAAGCTGTTGTACGAATTGAGTGCGATTCTAGGCAGTTTAGTCCTTAGCAATCCTTTGAGTTAAATCTGAAATACACTCAACAGGAGGAATAAAATCCCCACCACACACAGCAAGTCTGGAAGAGCTGCTTCCAAAAAAAATCAGTGGACTGAATTTAACAATAAAAACAGACTTTAAACAAGGGAATGAAACACTAGGAAGATTTTTCACTTTGGCCTTGAAAACATCCTAAAAAGAAACCAAAGTTAGCTTTCTTTACCCAACCACAGAAAGCGTCTCTGTTTGGACTGAGTTATGAACTTACTTCTAAAAAGAAAGAGAAGCAAGTTGACTACATCCACAGGCCAGTCACTCAGAGAGGGTAGACCGGCCTGTTGGTTTAGTTCAAACGCTCATCGGTTTCTGAGTTGCGACCGGAACACTAACAAGAGACTCAGGCAGCTTATATAGATGTAAAATATTTTATTTGTAAATGGTGATCTTCTAAATCTGTGTCCACAAATTCCAAAACCCATAACACTCTGTATACTTCAAAAAATTCAATTTTTGCCAACATTAGATACTATTATACAGAACAGAAAACAAAACAAAAACCCAGGAGGACAAATACTGGTAGGATGTCAGAATATTGTACAAGAGAAGAAAAATATTCAAGAAACAAATTTCATACAGCTATTTATCAAGAGAAAAATATATACAATTGATTTATTCTGTAAGATAAAAATACATCATGCCATATACATTACAAGTTCAGAACTGCATCACTGGATATACCAACAGCTTACAGTCCACTTGAATTGTGCACACAAAAACTTCATTTTATACTCAGCCTGTGAAGTGTCAGTACCAGAATTTTAAGTACAAAATAAAGAGCTAACCTGGTTCAAAATGCTGATTAAGTTTCTACAAGCAAACACAAAACAGTGTGTGTGTGTGTGTGTGTGTTTAATTAAAGAAATGTAAACAAACAGTTCATACAAACACATCTTAAAATTACATCTTCCAAACCCTACTGCCGGGGTCCTGCAGTTGCAAGCAGTCACATCTCTCCCTTTTTTTTTTTTTTTTTCAAATTTTTGTGTTAAATAAGCTAGAGAGTTCAATTTGAGTTCCTGCTACATGATCCTAGTATGTTTACATGATTTTTGTTTTGTGTGTGGCTTGAAACGAAGTTCTAATCAAAACTACTTTTGCTGAAGAAAAATTCAGCTTCCATTTGGGGGTGTTTTTAAGCAGTTATTCACAGTTATCACAAATTGTAAAAGCACAAAAAACCTGACTGAAGAAGTAGGGATGCAACAATATAATATGAAAAAATTAGTTTAAGTTACCAAAACGGCTATAAAAGTTGTAGTCATAGCATACACTCCGTTCTATCAGAAGTAAGGTGTATAAAACAAGTAAGTACTAATAGACTGTAGTTTCCAAAAAACCCCAAACACTCTAGGTGGAAATTTTGGTTATTACATAATTATAATGGCATATTTAATAACAAAATTATATTGTAACATCCCTATGAACATTTTATAAGCACCCGAGCTGCTGCAGAGCCTGGTAGCATTTGGTCAATAACTATTTTTATACTGTATTTTTTTTTCTCAAAATATTTACATGTTTGTACAAAGTAACAGGGTTTGTTAGTTTTGCAGGTAACAGCAGCAGCTTGGCTTTCTTCTAACTTTTATTTAAAAATAGCTTCATTCACTTATTCAATAATAAATACAAAAAGTTTCTCTTATTTTACAGAAATCAAAAACTACAATAAACTGACTCATGGAATCAAGTATTTAAATGTATTTTAGTGCAAGTTATTGTCCCTTAGCTCTATTCCTAAGGAAGTCAATTTCAGTACATTCCTTGTTCAGTGGTGTCTACTTTAGTTTTAAAAAACTCTTAAGTCAGAGGGCCTGCCCCTTTCTCAGATAAGGCCGTGGCCAGCACTTTGGACATCTCCCTCTCGCTGGTGATCTCAGTCTTACATTCATAGGAAGGCCCCGCCCTGGGGCAGGGCAGCCGTCGGCTCTTTGCCCCAGTAAAAGTTTCTCCTTAGTGAGACTAAAGAAACAAAAGGAAACAAAACCCACCCACAGAAAGAAAGAAGAAAGGAAGGAAAAGGAAACAAAAAAAAAAGTGCTGGACCATTCTGTAAATCTTCGACCTCGGCAGCTTGGGTCAAGTGGCCTTGGTCTGCTTCCTCCTGGTGCTCCCAACTTAACTGAAGTTCCGAGGAAATCAGGACTCCCAGGAGCTAGTTTTCAAAAAAGTCATAAAACAGAAAACAAAAACCTCTTTTCTGTCTGCGAAATTCCAATGGTGCGAGGACTCGCTTCTTCCTAGGGACGAGCCGCCCTCCGAGGCGCGGGGTCGCATCAGTTCATCCACTTGCGGCAGTTCACGGCCCCACAGTGACAGGGGATCTTGTGCTGGTCGTCCTCAAAGTCAAACTTATAGTCATAGCACAGCTGCGGCCAGAGACACGCAGTGAGAAGGCCGCTCCTCCGTCCTTGGCCGCCCCTGGGCCCGCGGGGCCGCCTCCCCGTGGACCCCGAGCCGGGAGGACGGACCGGCTGCGGCTGGCATCCCACGGGAAGCACCCTCCCGCCCTGAGGGGTGCCCCGCGATCCTGGGGGGCTCCCCTTCCTCACGGCACTCCCATCATCCACAGCTCTTTCCTGAGGGCTCAGGGCGGCTCCCTTGCACAGTGAGGCAGAGACTTGGGGGTCAAGTGGGCCCCCCGAACAACTTGAGCAAGGTTGGGGGCAGCAAGGCCAGGAGTGGGGGACCTCCTCTGTCCCCAGGCACGGGGCCTCAAATGGGTTCTTATTCATCCAGTTAGTGAGACGTGCAAGACGAGCCTTGGGTCAACTCGATTTAAAAAAGTACGTTCCAGTTAAGATGACCCCAAAATACAAGCGTCCTCTCAGGGCAGGGCTGGAGGCTCCACCCAAGTGAAGACCCTCGGGTTCCTCACCCTCGTAAAGAGGGGAGGCCCCCACAGAACCCGCCTGCCCAGCAGCCGCTTCCCAGGGCCTCTGATTTCAGCCCCAAAACGTGCTCATCACGTCTGACCAAGTCAGGGAACATCAACGCGATGACGGAGGCTGACGGCCATCCTCACGGGCGACACGCGAGGCGGAGGGAAGGGACTACTAAGGGAGCAGCCAAGCTCTCCAGAAAACCAGGGAGCGGGTGCTGGTTCAAAGTGCATACATGCAACTGGGACCCCCGGCCCCCCGGAATTGCTGCCCACAGCCCCAGGGTCACCCCGGGGCCAGAGGCGCCAGCAGGGCCATCAGCTCCGCGCAGGCGTCCTTTATAAAAGGGGGGGGGGCGCACACGGGAGGGGCAGGAGGGGCGAGGAGCGCACCCCCGGCGGCAGAGCCTCGGTGGGTAGGGGCGGAGCTTACCTCTTCTCCTTTCTGGATTCTCCGACTGGAGCTGATGATGATCTTGTGGCCGCGCTCAAAGGTTACCACTTCCGCCACACAGTTGGGCGCACACGAGTGGTTGATGTACCTGCGGGCAGCAGTCCAGAGATGGCTCGCCATCCAACAGCCGGGCGGGGCCGATGCCCCCACTCCCGCGGCCCCTCCCCACCGGCCCGCTCACAGCCCACGTGCCCACGGACACAGACGGCTGCGCGGCTGCAGGACCTCAGCGCCCCGGCCGGCCAGGGAATTCCCAAACGTACGGGGAAATGTTAAATAAGAACTCTGGCCGGGACTGAAGGGCCCCACCGCCGGGTCCCCGCCTCACCTGGCAGGCCCTCCCGTGAGCGTGGCGTCGATCACGTGGTCACTGTCCATGCGGAACATGTACACGCCTCGGTTCTGAAACACAAAGCGCTCAGCACCTGCCACGCCCCGGTGGGGAGCCGGTCACCCCAGCCGGTCGCCCTGAACTGAAGCAACACCTGGCAGGTCGCCTGTGAAGCCAGGCTCACTGATGCCAGTACAGCCTCATAGACGGTAATGGGGGGAAAATACAGGCCTATCCAGGTGCAGTTTCCAGGGTCAGACCCAGCCCTGGCCCCAGGCGCCCCACGGCACAGGAGGACGCGAGCTCACCTGGGACTCGTAGAGCTTCTCCTTTCTGTTGGCGACCTCGTTCCGAATGATGGTCCCGATGTACTCGATGACCATGGTGTGCTTCTCGATGTCCCGGGCAGCATACAGGCCCAGCCCCTGCAGAAACGCACACGCACGCCTCAGAGCCACTGGCTTCCGTGGACAACAGGCCTGTGTGCTCCTTCAGGCAAAGGTCCTGCCCTTGGTCACAGCAGAAGCCCCAGGAAGACCCCACCTGAACTCACGTGACCTTTGTACTAACCTCGACTCTCATCTGGACCCTCAACACTGGACGATCTTCCCACCTAAAGTTGTGCTATCACTCCCTTGTTTGTGTGTCTTGTTTTACAGTAAACCCTGAGGGCATTTTTACAAAGTGTTTCTATCTGGCCATCTTCTCTCCTGGGCTTCCCTGGGGGCTCAGCTGGTAAAGAATCCGCCTGCAATGCGGGAGATCTGGGTTCAATCCCTGGCTTGGGAAGATCCCCTGGAGAAGGGAAAGGCTACCCACTCCACTGTTCTGGCCTGGAGAATCCCATGGACTATATAGTCCAAGGGGTCACAGAGTCGGGCACAACTGAGTGACTTTCACACATCTTCTCCTGAACGTGATATCACAACCAGATCCCACCAACTAAACAGGCTAATGGCTTCTGCTATTTATTTTATCCCACCGTGATTTCTAAAAAGACATAACAAACTTATGAAGCAGGAACAGGGCTAACTGTAAGGGACTATTACAACGTGAGTTTCTACATTCTCAACTGACCAGAAGCCCCCCCACTGGACACAGGCCTTGTCAAGTACCATGGTTCAGGGGCTGTTGGGAGACTTTGGGGTGAGAATTAACTTCTGAAAAGAAGTACTCATGCGGTTTATGTGTTCAGTTCCAGGTGTGACTCCGAGGTGACAAAGCAGGGCATACAAAAACAATCTGCATGGAGATGAGTCCAGTTCAGTGCAAGAGACAGAAGATCACT